GTAAGACTCAAAAAAGTGATTGTAAGATCCTTTTTGCTGAATGGAGAAAGGGATGAAATGAGCTGCAAACTCTGCCTTTCTATATTATCAGAAAACAAGACCACCAAGGTAAGCTTGGCAGTTTGATTGGTGATAATGGATTATGTTCAAAGATGGTTGTATAATTGTTGAAGGTTGATCTTGTTGTCCAAAGAATTGATTGAGTTGTTGATGTTGTTTCTCGTGTTGATGTCTTGATACTTGTTTACTTCCTTGATGCTGTATATGTATAATGTAATAGAGGTGGTTCTTGAACCCAAAGGGTCTGGGAGCACTATGCTTCAACCAGGACTGGAACAAAGGACTGGCTCTTCTGTGTAATGTTTGTGAAATGAACTGTGTATATATTTCAATCTGTGAACTGTACTACTCGTGAACTTCTTGTGTAATAAATATGTGTAATCTGTGACAGGTGTCCCACCAAAAATGTGTACTGAGTGGGATGAGGAGGGAAACAACTGGCAGGCAGAGGCCTCCTTATATAGTAAATTATGAGGGATTTTAGCCCCAAGGGACCCCCTGTACGAGGCATTTTAGCTGCCCTATCCTTGAAAATCCTGAGGGATTTTGGCTAGACTATCTACAACGCATTCCTTTTATATGTAAGCTGTAAGAAAGGAATTCATGTGTTCTGTGGCTGAATAAATGGGAATTTAACTGGTACAACTGGTGGCCAACTTGTGGTTCTGTAAGTATAAAAGGAATTCAATATGAATAAAAGGAATTCAATATGCAATATACCCCCATGCAATATACCCTCCAGCTGAGTGCCTCTGATCCTGTGATTCCCCGTGTGACATCCTTGATTCTGCGTAACTTCTGATCCAGTAGAGATATGAAGGTGGTTCCAGTGAGTGACTAGGGGTTAAATTGGCCGTAGATTCCATTTCTGATGTCCATTTGTCCGTATCTTGAGTCCTTCATTGATAAATAATAAAATTTTGAATTTTCTTCCTTCATACACAGGAATAATGACCACATCCTCCCCCAACTTATTGACTGTCCCCAGTCAATTCTGATTTTATGACTGTGTTTGAAGGCTTAACCTTGCGTATATTTTATAATAGAATTTTAAATTTAGATGTTGTAGTAATAATAATAAACTTTGATAATTTTTATGTTTATTTTATTTTTGTGGCTAAATTGGTTGAGACTGGGAATTGAACAGAGGAGCCTTCTTATTTCTAAGAAATTTTACTCCTTGGGTGAGAATTGAACCCAGGTTTATTGTGTATAATTTTTGATCAAGGGTGGGAGTGGAACCCATGTCCTTAATGTTGATTTGTGTGGGGTGTTGGGTTTTTGCCTAGTTGGGGACTTGAACTGAGGTCCTGATTGTTTGACTCCAAATTTGAAGTGTTTGGATTTCCTGGGTGTGGGAGCCCTCTTAACCGTTCACAGGACCTTTCACATCCTCGGATTTGGGTTGCTGCGCGCGCAGTAGTCCTGAAAGCCGCGCCACCTCTTCCTGTTCTTCCTCCGTTTCGGACCGTCTGTCACTGGCCTTTCACAGCTTTTAGCCTATCTCCAGGATATTCGCTCCGGCCCGGTAGCGTATCCTCCAAACTGTACCGCTATCTCTTCTACTCCCCCCTCTCGGCCATCCACCCGACTATCCGCCACTAAACCGGCCTTCTTAACGATCTTCCCGACTATCTCCTCGATGATCGAATCTGAGAATTTGTAAGTTCCTCCCTCTCCTTGAATGTGTTTGTTTTTACCCCTCCCGCTAACGATATTGGTTTCGTCTTTGCAGATTATTCCCCAAACTGGCCGCGCTGCCATCCACGTCAACTCTCCTGGCCTCTTGAATCAACCAGTCCCCGACGATGTTCTCGTCTTCGTCGGCCTCGGCCCGGTAGTGTATCCGCCATCCAACTCCTCTCTCCTCCGTAATCTCTTCCCCACCTCTATCCTCAATCGACGATCTCCCCGACTATCTTCTCGACGATAGGATCCTCGAATTAATAAGTCTTCTTATTTTCTCTGTTGCTCTACTGTTGTT